TATAGTAAAAAAGTAATCAATCTATAAAAATTATCAATCATTAACATACCGCGCAACGCGCGGAAATAATACTAGTAAAGATAAAAGTTTGGGTCAGCTAAAAAAATACTAAAATATGATTGGTCAGGTGGTTTATTCTTCAAAGATGATTTGCTGGACGGTCTCATGTCATCTTTACGTAACTTTTTTAATTAGGGGTAAGACAGTAAGTAATCAATTGCCATTTTATTTATTTATTTGCAAAACCCCCTCTCCCGAAACGACGTTGTTTTACTGTTCCCCGCCCCGAAATATATAAGATTCGCGCAGACTTCAAAATTTCCTAAAAACTGAAAGAACAACCACTCCTTGGTTCTCTTCTCCGGTCAATTTGGTGGGGTTGCGGAACATCGAATTGGTGGTGGTGGTGGTGGTGGTTGAATCGATTACAATTCTTCCCTTTTCCACACCAAGATCCCCCTTCTGCAGTTACTTGTATACAAGAATTGGCATGGCGGAGGATTTGATCACTGCAGCCATACAGCAATACATTTTGGGAAATAATCGAAGAACCATCGGCTGCATTCATCTCAGAAATCTCAACCAGGAATCGTTGAATTCAATCTGTGGCCAAATTTGCAATAATCAGTTTTAAGTCAGTAGCGTACAACTAATGAATAAAATATCCACGGCTTTCAGGAGGAGACAATACCATAAAAGTACATCATCAACAATTTAATTCAAGAAGCCATGGAACACATAAAAACATGTTTGTCTATTTCCTTTCAGTTGCATGATAAAAGAGGCTTGAAACAATGAAAATCAACTCAGGTGCAATGAGTTAAGAATAGAGCTTAGTTAATCACTTCAAACTTGGCAATTAAGAAGACGTATCTTTGATTCAAAAGATAACATTGTTCTGCAGAATTTATCAATCAAATAGTGAGTTTCTTTCTCGTCATGTCTCTCATTCTTGTTCAAGGCAATGATAATTTTGTTTTCCTTTTAAAGACCATCAAAACCATTATGAGCAATATCTTTTCATATTTTAGGTTATTACACGTTGATGAGGAATTTTTCCTTCCTGGGAAATCATCAGTAAGGAATGCAGTGGACTAACTATATTTTGTCAAAGAGGCTAGTCTAGTGAGCTATTGCATTTGATATTCATACAGACATTTCACTGGAAAATTCTCTCCATCCTTGTTCTTCGTATATAGATCAGATATTTCCTTTTTGCCAACATAAAGATCATTGCATAGAAAACCATCATACAACCCACCATATTCCTTTCTGAACATTTGTTCTTTGTTACTAGCTACTTCCTCACATTATCTCTTTGGTTTCCTTAACCAGTAAAGGGCCTAGAGTCCACTCAGCTATACACCAAAAACTACCCCAAGTGTCATGTTGGATTTTGTTATGTCTAAAATTTGGTGGGTGGAGCCCCGAATTTTCAAATTTTGCTGACAGTAGTTTTCGTGGCAAAGAAAGACATTTAGGCAGGCGGCGGAGTTGAAACGATGAGCAGTGATTTCGAGCGCCACAAGATTAAATTCGGCCTTGTACGTAAGGTAATTGTGATACTTGTTGTTAATTATGTTTCCGATTTTCTGCTTTTTCAGCAAAAGGGCTTGCTCCTGAACAGCATCTCATTTCATCGGTACTTGTACTTACTGGGGTGCCATAAGTACTGGCTTTTGCGCCAAGATCGTAGAGTCAACTGATACTTACTTATTTGCAGGACCAACATTCAATACAGGTTTGTTGGTTACTCTCTACTCCTCAAGAAAGAGAAATTCGTCATTGTACAACCTGATCGTGTAGTCTTTGCTAATGGCCTTGCATCCGGGTGCATTCTCATTCAAAATTCCTCGTCAGACTTGGCCAAGAAGCTGAAGAACACAACTACATATGAGAACTACCATATGATTTTTGTTTCAGAAGGGCACCCACTCAATTGTGAGCCTAAAAGTGACCTACAAACAGCAAATTAGTAATGTTTGGTGTTGCGAATTTCTGCTTCTTTTTTACCTCTACTTTTTTTTTTGGATATTAACAAGTTAATCATTTAGATCTGTTTGATGAATTTTATTTAGTACGAATACAAAAAAAAGAGTGTGATTCTGATTGAAAGAGATCACAAGTCACAACCATAAAAAGGATCAACGTAATGTAATACTCATCGTCCATAAAATGAATTCCTTATACCGTTTTTAACGCTGAAAATTCACCTAATGGCATAGACGGCGGTTTTTTTTTTTTTTTTTCCCTTTAAAAAAAGAGTTAAATATGCGAAGTATTAAATCCCATACTCGAGCTTTCCTTATTTTGTTTACTGGTTTGAAACAACACAATTATCGTTGTCTATGATTTCTTCCTCATCATGTTTCATCAAATGGCTATATTCTTTCTGTTCCAAAGAAATAGTCCAAGTTTAGTAGAGATTCTTACTGCACACGATTTTTTTTTTCAAAAAAAATCAATTCATATAATTTCATTTTATAACAAAATTTTAAGTATTATAATTTACTACTAGATGCTTACCCCGGGCGTGTCGTCTGTATTTTTAAATTAATTAAATAAAAAATACGAATCATTCTTAAAAGAATTAAAAAAATTAGAAGAATAAAAAATCGATTGAAATGACAGAAAGTGAGCTATTAAACATAAATCTATGCCCAGATTTACAGCATTTAATTTATAATAGTTAACTTATACCTGGGTTTACATAAATCATAAATCAATATCTACAACAGAAGAATAAAAAAAAAATCATCCTTAAAAAATCAAATTTCTTTCATGACAACTTATTTTTTATCTGTTGTAGAAAGAGATGGATTGATAATTGAGGTCACATTTTAAATAATTGATTTAAAGGCCCGGGTGTGAGAGAGGAGCGGAATGGAAGAGATTCTTTGAAATTGGGAATTGGGAAGACATTACTGATATTTCACTTGATTTAAGGGGATTTCCTAGTATTTGGTTTTATCAACTAAATATTGTTGTTTTAAAGGATTAGTATATACCTATAATTAAGATATTTTTATGTAACTATAATTAAGGGATTTATGTATTTATCTATTCTATCTTTTTTTCTGATTAGTTAGAGTGCCACGTGTCAAAAATGATTTTGTACTGAAAATGGCTTTTGACGGGAAAATTTTTATTGTGGTGGTAACACATGTCCTTTTTGTTTGTTGCTTTAATTAAATATACTATAGATTATCACAATATGTAATTAGTTAAATAATCATTTTTATAACACCAAAATTTAAACTCAAAACAAACTTTCTCAAAATCAAAAGTTAATGCTTAAAATTATTAATAGCATGAAGTTGTACGACAGATGCTAAGCACTAGTGAAAATAAAAAGTTCCAAGAGGGTCGGTATGACAGTGATTTAACAACACAAGTCTATGCCCTGCAATGGCAGATGAACTAGTAATAAGATACTCCATCCAATCAACACAGGTTCTGTTATGTCAAATAATGATTACTAACAGAGGCTGCAAAATTTACAAAGGACCCATTTTTTTTTAATTTCTGGAGCAGCTTCAGGATGTGATGATTAAATAATACTCCCTCCGTCTCATAATTAATAATTATTGTCCAGTTTGAGTTTTTATTTCTAGTTCAAATTGTACTAAAACTGAAATCTCAAATTGGACAATAATTTTGGGACAGAAGTAGTAATTATTTTGGGTGTAAAATAAGAGGATCATACCGTAACCTTAGTTACAAGGAGGCCCCAACTATATCATGAAAATAATAAGTTTATCATTTCTACCGCAGGTTGTTCCCTAGTAAACTTGTAGTCTCAGGAGAGACGGTAATAAGTACTCTTTTTGTCCCTAAATTATTGTTCAGTTTTGATTTTTATATTTAGTTCAATTGAAAATAAAGATCTAAATTGGACAATAATTTTTAGACAGATCGAGTAAAATAATATTGAAACAGAGGAAGTATAATTATTATGAGAAAGAATGACTTGGACCTCGTGTGTCACCCCGTTTCAGCAGTTGGGGGATAGTCCATTTCAAATTGATCAAAAAATCAAATTTATAACAACACAAATTCCCTTATAAAAAAAAAAAAAACAAAGAAAGCTAAAAAGATTAATCATCATATCATCACTAAATCGTTTTTGGTAGTATCCTGATGATTTAAACACATGGATTGTACAGAACAAAACCGAACATTCACACATGGAATAATGTAGGTTTGTGATGTCTTCTTCTCCAATGTACACTTGGAGTTCCAGGGCCACACAGATTTTTCACCTGCTAATCCATATTGTAATGTTCTGAAGGGCCACCCAATTGATTAGAAAATGAACTGTGCTCTTGAGTTTTGAGAGCTGGAAGTTTATACTTTACACAGAGTTGAAAATTTTTTTGGGTTCAAGTCAGTGGCTATACTTCTTAGTTCTTACTAATTAAGAAGTCTTTATACTTCTTAGTTCTTACTAATTAAGAAGTAAGACTGTTGAAAATGTTAATGGATCAGTGAAGAAGACATAGCCAGAGAGGCTGCTCCAATGTAGTCTATTCAAATTTTCAACTAGTGTTTTTTGTGGAGCCATCAAACATAACATCAATATGAGCTGGATTCTTCTGGGTCTGATTTGAATCAAAAGCTATTCAATAATTTCTGGTGTTTCATGATCTGTTCCACATTGGAGCTACAATATAATCGACCTTTAACCGGCTAAAAACTGAGGAACGATATCCTCATGCAGCATCATGGATGCATGATCTAACAACATTGATAACAACTTTTCAGTGTTATCACAGCTTTGGTCTGCTCTGAGTCTTAAATTTGGGTTGGTTCTAATGTCTCTAGCCAATTTGGCCTCCTGCCACTGTCAAATCTATTTCAAGCTGAGGAATACTTATTTCCGTTATCCATAGGCTTTAATTACTCAATTCTTTTGTGGGACTCTTAACACTGACATTTAAGGTGCAGTTCATCAATTTAGAGATTATGGATATGTAATTGACTAAAACGAATTGTAGCGATAAATATGTACTAGTGAGAAGATTACACTATACGGAACTAAGTAATACGGACGCCTCTCATGTTTCTAACAGATTCCGAGCTGAATCGAGAATGCCATTGCCAGCATAGCCATGGCTGAAGTTGATCAGCTTATTGGACCCTTTATAAGTTGTCATTTTGTTTGTCTTCTTCCCTTAATCGGGCCTGCTTCCAGTAACCATTTGCCATAGACTATATTTATGGTATTGTTAGATTACGGAAAAACAAAGAAAAATAGAAGAGGATTGAGAATTTTGTGGATGAAAATGTTTTATTTATTTATTTATTTTTCTGCTCCCCAACTCTCATCCCCATCAACATAACTGCCTAATCCCACCACACAATAATACGCCAAAAATTTATTCTTTTCTGTGTCTGTATTTTACCCCCACACAATAATGCTAACCTCATGTTGCCCAACTGTTTAAAGATTGGGCGTCTACTTTTCGGAAAAAACCCACTTAATGGATGATTATTTGTGTAAAGATTCAGAGAGCAGGAATGAGGTCTCAGTCATGGTTGTTCAGAATTGAGAAAAGAGAACAGTAAAGAAAAAAGCTACTTAAGTATTTTGCATGAGACGATTGTTTTGTTGTTGGTTTACTGAGATCACTTTACTTCTGCATGGATAAACATCAAGACGTGATTTTTCCAGGTGTTCTGTAGTAGTTTTTCATGGGGGATGCTGAGTTTAAGGAGACTGAAAATCCCACAGCTTTTGACATTTCTGCAAAGAAGAAAGAGCTGTTTTCAGCTGCCATGATGAGGACTAGTGAATGGTTTGCCCTTTTCTTTCTTTTTTTTGTGAATTTGTCTTATACTGATATGCTTAATACTGATGTTGCTGTATGAATTGCTTTAATGATAGGATCTTCTCCCTGGAGATTCCAAGTGATATCCTTGTTCATGTTGGGGGAACTCCCCTCTCACTGCACAAGGTAACTTACAATCTTCCTGAAAATTTCATGAATCTTATTGTTGTGTTTACTTAGTTCTTGTTGCTGAGAAGTTGTGATTACATTTCATACAGTTCCCACTGGTTTCAAAGTGTGGATATATAAGGAAAATGGTGTCTGAATCCAATGATGCTGATGTTTCTGTAATTGAAATTCCTGACATTCCTGGTGGAGTTGAGGCGTTTGAACTTGCTGCAAAATTTTGCTATGGGATAAACTTTGAAATGAGTACACAAAACATAGCCATGCTTAGATGTGTTGCAGAATATCTTGAGATGACAGAGGACTATGCTGTTGGGAATTTAGTGAGCAGAAGTGAGGCTTTTCTAACTGAAGTAGGACTTAAGAGCCTTGCTAGTGCAGTATCCATTCTGCATTCTGCAGAAAATTTTCTTCCATTGGCAGAGGATGTAAAACTGGTTAGCCGATGCATCGATACAATAGCTTACATCGCCTGCAAAGACAACCAGTTTTCGGCATTAGGCAGGGGAGACAATGGTCACCACAGCCCTGCGATGGCGCATCCTAAAGCCATTGTTGATTGGTGGGCTGAGGATTTAACTGTCCTCAGAATCGATATGTTCCAACGGGTGCTTGTCGCAATGGTTGCAAGAGGATTCAAACAATTTTCGCTTGGTCCAATACTAATGTTATATGTACAGAAGTCTCTTCGAGGTTTGGTGAGATCTCAATTCTCAAACTAAGAACTTTGAAACAAAAAATGCTATACTACTTGATTAACTAGACTTGAAAACCTATTTTGATGGTCATCTGCAGGAAATTTTCGGAAAGGGAAGGAAAAAATTGGAACCAAGACAAGAACATGAGAGAAGGGTTGTTTTGGAAACAATTGTGAGCCTTCTACCAAGAGAGAAGAACTCATTGTCAGTTAGCTTTCTCTCAATGCTGCTTAGAGCTTCCATCTATCTCGAAACAACGGTTGCTTGCAAGATTGACCTGGAGAAAAGGATTGGTTTGCAACTTGACCAAGCTGTGTTAGATGATCTCTTAATTCCTTCATATTCTTTCACTGGAGACACATTGTTTGATGTCGAGACTGTCCAACGGATACTGGTTAACTATCTCGACTATGAAATGGAGGAGAAACGATTAGGACACAATGCAGGTGATCAGTATTCTCCTCTATCCACTGATACAGAACGAGTTGGGAAGTTAATGGAGAATTACCTTGCGGAAATAGCTTCAGATCGAAACTTGCCGGTTTCTAGGTTCATTAGTCTTGCTGAACTTGTCCCCGAACATTCAAGGATCACAGAGGATGGTATGTACAGGGCAATTGACATCTTCCTAAAGGTGTGTACTCTTCGATTCATTCGTTTCATTTTTCCCATTTTTTGGATTAATGCATGTTGTTGCAGTCTCAGAATTTGGCTAGATGCTTATTGATATGTTTTCTGCACTGCACAATTCATTAGATTCATATTTCTTCAAGTTGAAGCTGGGAAGACTCTTAAAAACACCTGAAGAGCATATAGCAGAAGTCTAAACTTATCATTTCATTATTGAGTTTTCCATCTTTCCAAATGTAGAATTCAGGAAACTTCAGAAAAATTTCTTACTTTCTCTTCATTGGTGAAACAAAATTAATCAATTTTACATTTTTCGCGCTCAACGTGTAGGCTCATCCTGACCTAAGTGACATGGACAGAAAGAAAGCTTGCAGCGTAATGGACTGTCAAAAGCTCTCGAGGGAAGCCTGCGCTCATGCAGCTCAGAATGACAGACTGCCTGTTCAAACAGTAGTTCAAGTGCTATACTACGAGCAACAACGCCTTCGCGAGGCCATGGACGGGAACCTCAAGGAAGGCGAATCTCCTCCAGGTCTAGCCCTGAGGGTGAACCGCCACTCGACAGACATCCACTCGAATCCACCCGAGCTCTCCAGCTTGCGAAAAGAAAATCAGGACCTGAAACTGGAGTTACTGAAGCTGAAGACAAAGTTGAGGGAAATTGAAAGGTCATCAGATAGGTCTAATACCAGCAGTCCACTAGGAATTACCCTTCCAAATGCAGAGAAACCTCCACTCCCAAGAAAATCATTCATCAGCTCAGTTTCTCAAAAGCTGGGGAAAATAAACCCGTTTATCCGTGCTGAGGGGAGTTTGCTGAAACCGAAAACTCGGACCAAACCACCCAAAGACAGGCGCCATTCCATATCCTAATACATTTGCTTCGTCCCCTTTTTGGGTTTTTTTCTCAAATGTGATGAAGTATATCTGATTCTACAGTTGCATATACATATATCTACATAAAGCTTGAAATGAGTTTGTATAGTTGTTATAGCATTTTTCCTCCATTATGTAAGCTACCACAGTTCCGGTTTCGATGGAGACTAGTGAAAGTATCATCGACTTTACTATGTACAATATATGATGCCAACTGGTTTTGTATAGTTTGTATAATTGTCACCTTTGTGCTGCAGAATTCTAGTTTTGGAAACTCGATGGAGGGAGGGAATTAGTTACTGTTATTGTCTATTTATACCGAATTCTTAAAATGAAGCCTGATGTAACGTAGTAGTACCTCCATAGCAATTTATCCTTAGGAAATGGTGAAAGATACTACTATTACTAGAGGTTGGTTGATTTAATCCCCCCCAAGAAAAACCCTCCCAACTACTAAACCACTTGTAGAGATTATAAAAAAACAAAACTTTGTTAGACAAAAAGTCTATAAATTACAATTGACTCTTGATTCCATTTATGAAAGCAACTGGTCAGGAGTTTTTAAAGGAAATTACTAATAAACCACGTACGTACTTACTAAAAATCACAGGAATTGACCACATTAACAAGTTTCGAAACCCTTCTATATTTTTTCACCAACTTTTTCTTTAACAACAGAGTGAATTACATCACTTGGATAATGAAGTAGATTATTGGGTGTGTTGTAAGAAACCTACATGTACCTACTCCCCTTCAGTCATTTGATTACACCTATATACTACTTGTAAAATATTACTCCCTCCATTCCAAAATAAGTGTCGTTTTAGCAAAATAGAGAAATTCTAAAATAAGTCTCGTTCTCACATTTCAATGCACTTTTTGTCAAAAGTTTTCAAAATTACCCTCAAAAGAGTTGATGTTATTGGTGGACAATTTTATAATGAGACAGAGAAGTCATAAACACGCCGTTTCTTAATATTAAGTAAGTTGTATTAGTATAAGAATTAAAAGAAATTTATGTAAATTCTTACAACTTGAAAACATATAGCAAGAAATTAAACTTATCATAGTTTTCTAGAACACACAAAGCAATACTATAAATAAATACTACCATCATGATTAAAACACAGGTGGAAGTATCAAAATTTATCACCTCAAAGGCTCAATGTAACCATTATTTTTCTTCGTCGGTGTGGTTGGGGAAAAACCGATTTTAAATATTCCTGAGAAAAATATATATATGTACTAGTATAACAGATGTCATTTTCAAAATATCCTATAATTTCCACGTACCAACTCTTCATTAGTAGTAGTAGAAAAAGAGAAATTGATTTCTTTTTCTTTTTTTTTTGGAAATAAAAATTCTGGCAGCAGCAGAGTTTATTAAAACAATTCCAGATTCCCTTGGCATATACAGACTCATCAGTGTTCACAAATACTCCTAATCGTAAAGCAGAAATTTGAATTAATTTTAATTAGAATCGGAGGGAGTTATTAAACCATCCAGATTAATATATTAATATTATATGAACAACTAAAAGTTATACAAATTAATCAGCTCAGCAGTCGAAGCAGTACTAGGTAAGCTCCGCAAAACTTGGGGACCTTTCTAGTTTCCTATGCTCTCCAACGTGAAAACAACCGAAAAAGAACCATTTTACTAGTAATAAACTTCGTCTGTATCTGTGTTTTTTTTTCAGTCGTATGAATCTCCACGAGTCTGACAGCGTAAAAACAGAAAAAAAAAAAAAAAAAAAAAAAGAGAGGCCCCCAGCAGCAATTTTGTATTTCCCAATAACCTCTGAAGTTATTTTTAAACTACTTGGTAGTTGGTACTTGCTAGATCAATCATCAATTTTTTTTTTTTTTAATTTAAAGTTGAACCCTTCAAAACCCCACTAAAAAACAGAAGAAGTTGAAGGAATTTGTAGTTAGTAATTGAAATTGAATGCAGAGGAGGAGGAGGATTATCATAGCAAACCGCGTTGAAAATCGGAAAGGGTTTTGGGAGACTATTGGTGTTGAACTCCATCGGTTGACCACCAGAAAAAGAAGACAAATTCAAGAAATGCCATTTTTATAAGGGAACAGGTGTTTATTGTTCTTATCAAGGTGGGGTAAGACGTAAAGAAACAATCTTTTATCTGATAATCTTGGACTTTTTTTGTTTTTGGTGATCAAATTTTTGCATCCCATTTACCGGAACAGTGTATAAATACGTCGATTTTCAATTATGTTTCCTTTTTTGCCTTCATCTATTTCCTTCTCCCAGTTAGACCCGTCTTTTCTCTTCACTTCTGTCAATTTCTAAGCAGATTCTCCACGTGGGATAGCACCAATTTGCAGCCTCGATTTTCATCTAAGTTCTTATAGAATATTAATCTGAATTTTGGTTCTTGTGAGGCTCTGTTGTTTATGAACTTCCACCCTTTTCTTCTTAATTGATCTCTGTCTTCCGTTACTCTCAGAGGTTCTGTGATTCTTTCTGTGTAAGTTTTTGTTTATGGGTTCATTTCAAATTAGTCCTTTCTCTTTGTAGGACTGTTGTATGTGAGTTTCTATTGGAGAATTTTCATGCAAATTTCTGGAATAATGATTGGTTCATTCATTTTGTCTTTGTTGTTTTCCCATCTTTTAGCAAGAGTTGAATGGAAGGTCCTTCCCTAAAAATTGAATCTTGAAGTTTGAAAGCTCTACTTTTGTCCTGCAAAAAGGTAGGGGAAAAATGGAGTGTTTTTCTTACTTCAGAGATAGAACAAAATGCACGAAACAACGATCAGCGCCTATTTTTTCATTTCCAAGCAAATCTGGTAATTCATCCACGGAGAAGGTGGATGAATCTTCAAGTTCTACCATTACTCTGAGAGGTGCCAAGTCTTCTGGTTCAGCCACTTCAAGACGCAGTGTTTCTGAATTGTATGAAGAAAAGGGCCAATACTTGAGAGTATTTTCATTCGGGGACCTGGCACAAGCAACTAATAACTTCAACAGGATGCTTAAGATTGGTGAGGGTGGTTTTGGTAGCGTTTATAGAGGTACAATAAAGCCTGTTGGTGGAAAGGGTGATCCCACTGTTGTTGCTATCAAAAAACTCAACAGAGATGGTTTTCAGGTACCCTTTTGTTGATTTCCTCTGTAGTGGAAAATGCGATCTAATGCCCCATTTCTAAGTTATTACTCTGGTATAGTGTTCTCGGGGAAGGTTATGTAGCATAAAAATGATAAAAGCTGTCGCCGACATTTGTTTATCAGAAAATGAGAAATGTCAAATGCATGTTTTTCTCTGTGATCATGATTACAAATCTTAAGCTGGAAAAGTGAGCTCTGATGACCTCACCACAGTGCTCTACCAGTTTATGCTCTGCAGGAGTCAATTAGTCATGTTTTCTGGACCTCTGATTGCAAAAACTTTTGAGAAAGTGAAAATTCCCCTTGTGGCATTATCGTGGTCAACCTCTTTATGGCCTCATTTGATTTCCTTGCTATGATCTCGGAGCAATTTTGAACTGCTGTAATAGGATCTCTCCCTTACTAGGCTTGTTTCCTTCTGTAGTTCACACTGCTTAAATGCTTATAGATGCTTTATATGATTCACAGTGTTACAGATGGCCAAAACATCCACTCTTTGCATGCATATCAGTTGGTTGTGGATGCATGTATATACTTTTAACTTTTTGCTTGACGCTTGTTGTTTCCTATTTTCATCATAGTTCCGAAGGTTTGGCTTCAGTTGACTGATTTTTCTAATGCTTATTGATGCAGGGTCACAAGCAGTGGGTAGCTGAAGTGCAATTCCTTGGAGTTGTTGAGCACCCAAATCTTGTTAAGCTTATTGGGTACTGTGCTGTTGATGGAGATAGAGGTATCCAGCGGCTACTTGTCTATGAATTCGTGCAAAATAAGAGCCTTGAAGATCATCTTTTCAACAAAGCTTATCCTGCTCTTACTTGGGAAACAAGACTGCAGATAGCACTTGGAGCAGCTGAGGGATTAGCGTACTTACACGAAGAATTGGAAGTCCAGGTTCTGTTTTTAACCTTAAAGCTTGATCATGAAATAGTTTCTTGTATCTTTATGTTCATTCCTGGATTCATTCCACTTCAACCTTCTTAAGTCTTAAATTGCAGTGAAACTAAGTATGGTTTTTAGCTCCAACTTTTCTTTTCTTATAATATTATTTAAGCATTCAAAATCTCTGCCAGTGGGAAGGAGACTAGCTGAATAGAGAAGTTATTGAGTGACGATTGTTTTTGAGGCTGAACATCCTAAAGACTTTATCTGACCGGCTATTTTGTATGGATTTGTTGCTTGCATCATTGGCTTCAGGTGATATTTCGAGATTTTAAGACATCTAACATTCTATTGGATGAGGATTTCAAACCAAAACTTTCAGACTTTGGGCTTGCCAGGGAAGGGCCAACTGGTGAACAAACTCATGTTTCAACAGCGGTATTTTCTTAAGCATTGGTTATGGCTTTCATAAGTACATTCGTAGTTCACTTTTTAAGAGAGATTAAGATGAACTTATCCAAACGTTCTCTGTTAGGTTGTAGGAACGTATGGATATGCAGCACCAGATTACATTGAAACGGGCCATCTCACAGCTAAGAGTGATGTCTGGAGCTTCGGTGTTGTCTTGTACGAGATGTTAACTGGTCGGCGATCACTAGAACGAAATAGACCTAAATCAGAACAGAAATTGTTGGAATGGGTAAAAATGTACCCTGCCAACAATAGGAGATTTGGAGTAATTATGGACCCAAGACTTGAAAGTCAGTATTCCCTCAGTGCCGCTAGAGCCGTTGCCAAGTTGGCAGATAGTTGTCTGGTAAAATCTGCCAGGGACAGACCTAATATGAGTGAGGTGGTGGAAAAATTGAAACAAATTATCCGAGTTTCAGGAGAAGAAACTTCACCTTCCCCTGAAGGAAGTCGTGAGGATGTTGAAATCAGTTCAGCGGAAGAGAAGCCACCTAGACGCATGGGAGTATCAGAGTCAGCAAAAAGACGGATGGCGCATTTAGTTAAACTGAGTGAGCATGTTGATGGAGCCCGTGGAAGGAGGTTCTTGATAAAGCAGAGACAATGATGATCTAGTACCATTTCTGACTTGTCCATTGTAGCTTTGGTTTTGTTAAGATGGTTTCGAATTTTAGTTCTTTTTTCAGATGGCAGAAGCTACGAATAAAATTAGTACAAGCAAAGGAATATATGGGACTGGGGCATTAGCTGGGGGAATTTTGATTACAGTAGTTGGAGCATTCTCCAGTGTTAAGAGCAATGAAAGAGGTTTGGAATGCACCATTTTTTGTTGATATGTAAATGAAATCATCCGAAAAAAAGTTTTTAACTTTTAGCATTTTTCATCTGCTCTATTCAAAAGCTGACCAAGAACGTGTACGCTAAAGGCTTCTGAACTGTCATCTGCTCTATTCAAGTATAACAAAGCTGCTAAACTGATGAGATTCCATTTTGGATGGCGACAGAGCCGTATGGTAAATTGGTAATCTACCAGCAACCAATTCAACAGAGGCGGATGTAAGAAGATACAGAGACAATATGGCAGGAGTTTTCTTGATGTGGCTCCTCTAAAGAAGCAAACAGGCACCAAAGATATCTGCAACTGCAAGTGTACAAAACTCAAAAGGGATATAAATCCAGAATTGGTTAATGTGACCACTCAATGCTGAGTGATTAGTGAAGGTTCCAGTAGAGCAAGCGTATCGTTGCACATTTGATTTATGTATAACATCAAAGCAAGCAACAATTTGCAAGCAAACGAATTAGCTAGTATGCGGACGTTTTTCCGGGAAGAGAAGAAATGCATGCTGAAAAGTAGACTACAGAACACAGTTTTTACATGGATTTGGTATGACAAACAAAACTAGAGAGAGGCAGTTTGAGCCCATTGATGAGAAGTTCCCCTTGATTCCTGATGGATGTTGGCAGTTGTTACACTGACGGCATTGGACCTTGGTGGTGAAACTGGTGATTGGGATACTTGAGTTTATTTTCTTCGGAGTACCAAAAAGAAAATTAAGATGACGCAAACGAATACACCAGCAAAGATTATCAACCCAAGTGCTGAAAGATCCACATAAATATTTCTCATATAAGAAGAAGATGATGATGAGGTCTTCCTATTTGACCGTAAGTCTTTTATCAATCAAATTCATGTATACAAAAAGGGGGTAAAAAAAGAACAAACAGTTTTTTTTTTTTCCTTTTTCTTTTTCTTTTGAATTAACCCTTTTCTTTTTATCTTTTTCCCTCTCGAAACTTCGACAAAATTTCACAAACAATTAACTATACGGTTAATGGATGCACTTTGAAAGCAATGTGTTAGTGTATTTTACTTAAGGATGATTACATAACTGATAAAGGTCTTTTCTTTTTGTTTGTTTTGGAAATTTCTTTTTTTTTTTTTTTTTTTTTGCATGCAACGAGAGAAAGGCAAAGGAGAAAGAGAACGAAGCTGAGGGTGAATCATCATCCCCATCAATTTGTTAGAATGGTCCAAAATGCAAGGGTTGTTAGGAGAAATTCCTTAATACTATCTTTTACTTACATTGTTGATAAAATTTGGGGGTAAAAAAAATTTAAGTGGGCGGTGTGGATATTTGTTTCTCCTTCCTGTTTTGATTAGGTTGGACACAAAACAATAGAAGCAAAAATTTAAGTGGGCGGCAGGAGGTGGTCTGGCAGCGGGCGGCGTCGGTGGAGGTGTGAAGGTGGTGGTGTATAGATAATATTATTTTATTTGAATTTATATCTTAACAATTTTTTAAATTTTTATTAAAATCACATTTTAAATTATATATTCAATTCAAAGCAATAACTAAACCAAAAACTTAAATAAACCATTTTTTATCCGAATTTTCACCCCACAATTTTCTTGTATTTTTTTTTAAAAAATTAAATTTTAAATTAATTATTATAGCGCAGTAAAATTTTAGAAATAACTCAAGATTTATTGTAACTGTCAAAGTCAAAAATCTTAGTTTTGTTTTTTTTCCTTTTTTAATTTGAATTTTGAATTATTATTGTGACTTGGTAAATTTTTAAAGTTACAGTGGACGGTGAAAAGTGCAACATAATTAACATTTATTTTAGTAAAAAAAAAAGTAACTTTGAAAATAATTTAAATTTAAATTTTAAAATAATATTTTAACAATTAAATAATAAATGTGAATTTTTATAATATTTTTAATGATTTAAATTTTAATGGAAGTTTAAATCATATAAAAAGACGAAAATACTCCTGATTCCGGCATGTCAACTGTCGGTCAACATCGAATTGGACGGAAAAGTGGCCGAAACAGTGAAATGAGACTAAAAAAGTGTGAAAACATATTGTTTGGTACTACGATATTGAAATGTTAATGTTATGGACATAAAATCAAGTAAGCCCAAATGTAAGAGACCATTTGGACATTTTAGTCTTTATCAGGCCACCACTTGCGTCCCCTGATCGTCATTGGTTTGGAAAATTGGCCAGATTCGGATTTCCATTTCAAAATTATTATGATATGAAGCATCCATAGAGCAGGACAAAAGACAGTCTCAAAGTGGAGGAGGCCGTTTACGCTGACGGCACTCTGAAGGCACTGGAGACACAAGAATTGGACGATCCCAAGATCGGTACAAGGCAAAACACTAACAAATATGGGAACATGAGGCCAAAGCTAAGCAGAAGAAACCGCGCATAAGACTCCTAGGTTGAAATCTGAAGTAGTATGTACAGAGTGCATTTGCCAATACGCGCCGAAAGTAATTTCGAAATACTTCATCTTTTCGTAGACACAGCGCCACCACAGATGACCTTGTGTATAAATCTTGGAAGTAAGGTGATATACTAGGACCACATGAAAATATGAAATGACTAAGATCATAAGCGTTTAGGAACGAGTTGCGACACTAAGACAGAAAACCAATAGAGCTGGTTACTGGAGAGCTGGAAGGAATGCCATCTCATTTCCATAGCACCCATAGCAGCAGTCATGCTCGAGATGCACAGCGCATACCTTTCGATGATACTAAACACACTCAAAACCATACTAGCTTTACACTGCAAAAACTGCGACAACTTTTATTCCTGCCAAAAACAAATCTGAGCTGAAACCAAAGGGAATTCTAGTCGTACTACTATTACTACTATATACTCCCTCCGTCCCATAATTATTGTCCAGTTTGAGTTTTCATTTCTAGTTCAAATTGAACTAAAAGTAAAATCTCAAACTGGACAATAATTTTGGAACAGAGGGAGTATAAATTACACTCCTTACCCCCCAAAATACTAACAATTGACCCTTCAAAAAAAAAACTACTAATAATTGGAATATAATAAGAATACCTTTTTGGAGAAAACTGTAACTTCAACAAGAAAGTTACTGTTAAATTCGGGCACGGTGAAATGCAGAACTGAAAACTTTCTTGTTCAGTGAGATAGATATGTATGGATCATTACAAATGGTGAAATGCAGAACTGAAATAAATTTTGATGTGACATATGTTTAGTGAGATATATATGTATCACTACCGTTGGTGGAAGAGTATTAAAATCATCCCATGCATGAAAACTGATTAATGTAATTCACATTTTACACACAATCAAAGGGTAAAATTGATATTAGTACAAGACCCGAAGAATAAAACTTTCCCAAATTCAACATCACCAAGATGATTTCTTGGGAACACGAGTCAACGAGTCTACACAAAAAGATTATTTAACGGTTGCATGATGCATCAGCTAAGGTTCATTGACTTGAGGGAAGCTTTATTCGCGCGTGTACTCCACGTTAATTTCCTACAGAAGAAGAATACGATGTGGTCTTCCTTCCTCCTAATTGATCCTATTATCATCAAATGCATATATACCGAAAGGAGGTTTAAAAAAAAAAAACCATAAAGAGTAGTTTTCTTTTTCTTCTTTTTCTTTTTGTCTTTTTGCCTCTCAGAAACTTCGACAAAATTCACTAACAATTAATTTAAGGTATAAATGGATGCACTTTGAAAGCAATGTGTTACTGTACTTTACTTGGGACTGATTAAATAACTAATAAAAGGTCTTTTCTTTTAGTTTGTTTTTTCTTTTGTTTTGGAAATTTCTTTTTTGTTTGTATGCAACGAGAAAAGGCAAAGGAGAAAGAGAACGAAGCTAAGGGTGAGTCATAATCCCCCATCACTTTGTTATAAATGGTCCAAAATGAAGGGTTGTTAGGAGGAATTCTTTAATAAAGTACAGTATCTTTTAATTACAAGGTTGATAAAATTTGGGGGTAATTCTCCTTCCTGTTTTGATTAGGTTGGACACAAAACAATAGAAGCAAAAACTGTACCCGAAACGTTAAGAATTCTATCGGGAAGGATGAGAGAGTCAGTGAATGCCAAACTCACAATTACTGACCTAAACTAGCCGGCAAAAATACATGGATCAAATTTCATTATGTGGTTGGTTTCCATTTTTATGTCCACGAAGAAGAGATTTGGAATGCACCAATATGTTTAAATGTATACAAAATCAAATTACAAATTAAACTTTTTGCATTTTTCCCTTATTAACAACAACTCTCATCTGATCTATTCAGGTTTTGTAACTAAAGGATGTATGAAACGACAACCCCCAAAAAAAAAAAAAAACCTAAACGACCCCCTAAACGGCTAAACCCTAAACCCAACAAAAAAAAAAAAAAGAAGAAGAAGAAGAGGTGAAGGCGATAGCCAAGTATAGATGCAGAAACAAATGTCAGAAGATACATATGGCTGGAACTTCCAATTTCGGAGCCAGCTTTCTTCTTGGAGTCCTCAAATAAATGGAGCAAATTGTCGCCAAATACGTCTGCAACTGTACATTGCTCCTATTTAACGGGATACCAATCCACAATGACAGTGAAGACAATAATAGAGCACTAATGATGCAAGATCTCGATATTCATTTACCAAATTTGGATCCTACATCTACCACCAATGAAATTAACGGTTTTATGACTTGCATTTTGCTTGTCATAGTTCATTTGATAGACCAGCATATGCCGAAGCTTCCATTCCCACATACTCCCAGTTCAAAGGAGGAATTTGGTAAGTGGATCTGCATCAACTACTAAACCACCACCAGCACTAAAGACAGAGCGCCCCCTCCGCAGGTTTACTTATCCACTGTCGCATTATCTCACTTATGAAATCAAAGTAAAATAGCAGATGCCGCACTGAGGTGATCTCTGACCATCTCACCATTCTATCTTTTTGCAAGACTCTGGCCAAAGCGAAATCGAAGAGTATTCAAAAGCAAAGAAATGTTTACTCTGGAAATAAAAAGTCTTCTATAGAGCACACACACAGCAACCATGAAATATCAAGAAGCAAACTGAGAATATAGTTCCAACTCCAAAAAAACGACCGATTTTCCAGCTAAAAAATGATAATAGTAACTTATACCAACAAATTCCAAAACGGAAGAATAATAGCTAACCTTCAGTCACCATCTTGTGAAAACAAATTCAAGTAATCCACGAGCATTCGTCTAACAGCTGGAGTTGAATGGATTTGCTCTTCTCAGCATCTTCCACCTTCAAATGCATAGGTATATTTTTTACAAATCATTCAGTCCCTCAAATACAGCCATGAGAAGAAAGACGACATACAGATGATTGCCATATTCAGCTCCTTCTACGTCTAAAATCATACTTATAAAACCCAAGTTGAAAAATTCTTTTGCAATAAGCTTCGGTGCCATTGAAACCTTTATTTAATAAATTCCACTTTTAAATTCTTATCTAAATCTAAATAGTATTCTTCAAGACAATTTCTGGCTGAGTACCTTGAAAAGCAAATGCCACGTTGACTTGTAAATTTGGAAAACTAAAGCTCATAAGTTTAACCAGTTGCCTGTATGAGGCAAAAGAGCATATTCCAACAGCATAAGGCAAAAGAAGTTTATGAAAATTTACTTAACTAGAAGTTCATATAAATTGTATTATAAATTAGCTAGAATTTCATAAAAATTAATCAGTGGCCGATATACGGCAAAATAACTTGCAGTGCAGAAATAGACCCCAGGCAAGACAATACAATTAAATTGACCATAAAGCCAGAAACACTGTGCCAACATGTTTAATGATCTAGAAAGGGGAAAAAAAAGGAAGAAAATTTGAGCAGCGAAGTTCAGAGAATACATTTCAAGCTTCAGACTTACAGTACCTGTTAAAGAAGTATTTTGTGATACTGCATAAGTAAATCCAGGACGAGAATAATAAACTCATATTGGAACTACATGCAGCCACACAGTATTTTCTTCTTCTCGCTGTCCAGCGAGCATCAAATCATGATTTGAGTACCTTCACTCAAATTGTTGCCTTCTCTTTTGCTGAGGAAGAGGAAATCTAGTGATAGACATTGTACTACTGCCTTACACTATCCATGGAGCTCTTCCAGACTAATTTGGAGGACTGATCACGTTTCTGGCTGCAGAGCTTAATTCTACTTATGTAGTCATAGGTAAAATACATGAGAAAATCTAGAAAGAGGGTCTTTCCAGTTATTCTCCTTTGGGGTTTAGAATTCCTGTTTATGTCATCACATGCTCTCTCCCAAATTTTATAGGATATTTCATCAAACTCATATTGAATCTCACTCAATTTCTGATACCACATACAGGTCCTTTGAGGCGATCCTTTTTTCCGTAGATGCGACAACAATAAGTTGATGGTAACAATATTGGGTACAAAACCCATCTTAAGCAATTTCCCAGTCAAAATCAGAGCACGGTCCAGGATGTCATTACAAATACCATTCATCAGAGTGTTGTATGTCACTGTATTGGGAGCTATTCCCACTGAAACAATCTCATTCAATATCAGAACAGCGTGATTAAGTCTCCTGCTGCTACAGAAACCATGCATGCATATGTTGTACGTAGTTATATCGGGCTCCCATCCACTGGCATTCATTTTATTCACAATATTATCTACGCTAATCATGTCAAAGACCTTAAAATGTCCACTGATGAGAGTATTGTAAGTAACAATATCAGGGACTATCTCATACCTTGGCATTGCCATATATGCATCAATGGCTGATTTCATTCTTCCTTGCTTGCAAAAGCCATTGATGATGATATTAATGGTGAACAGATCTGGCTGAAGACCCCTTTGCCTCATCTCCCCCTCTAAACTCAATGCCTTTTCCATATCTCCGCGTTTGCAAAAACCTGCTATTAAAGAATTATAGACATAATTGTTAGGCACAAGTCCTTTTCTTTTCATCTCCTGAAACCAGTTATATGCCTCTTCAAGAAAACTAGTTCTACAGAGGCCATTAATGAAGGCAGAAAAAGCGACAGTATCAGGAGTCATCTGCCTCCTTCCCATCTCTTCCCAAATGCTTTGAGCCCCCGCAATGTCTCTATTTCTAAAATATGCATCCAGAAGCACTGTGAAAGCTACTTTGTTCACTGGCCAGGCTCGCTTCAATGTCTTATCGACGAGGTCTTTCATATCTTGAAGCCTGCCCACGTGAGACAGGCCTAATAGCAGAGAGGTAAGAGCGGAAGCAGGAGGAACGAGACTAAATCTATACATCGTCTCATAGAGTTCAAAAGTTCTCTCATACAATCCTTCTCTCCCATAAGCAGCAATGACGGAATTGAAAGCAACTAAATTAGGATTTATGCCCTTCTCAAGCATCCTATTCAGTAAGTTGAAAGCCTCATCCAATCTTCCTGCCCAGCACAATCTTGAAATGTACATGTCAGAGACTGAACTATCAGGAATAAGATCTGTACTTGATAATTCCCTCAAGAATCTATCACCATCCTCCACCCTTCCAAACTTGTAGTTTCCGGCAACCAAAATATTCAAAGTTATACAATCAGGAGCAACACCGATTTTCCCCATTTCTTCATACAACATATTAGCCTCACCAATTTCTCTTGCTTTTGCGTAGCCATCCAGTAAAGTATTATACATATTGGTACATGGTGAAATACCCATCTCCAGTATTTCTTTAAAGATCTTCCTAGCTTCTGAAAGCTTGCCTTCCTTACATAGAGCACTAAAAATCGTAGCAAAGGTGTAAGTGCTTGGTTTACAACCACTCTCCACCATATACTGTACCCATCGAAATGCATGAGAAATCCAACCTCTAAAACAGTAAGCATTTATCAATATGTTGTACCCAACAACGTCTGGTTCACAACCATATTTGCTCATCACACACAACAAGCTCTTACCGACATTAACATACTGTTTTCTGCAAAATCCAAGAATAATCATATTATAAACAAAATTGTTCGGTCGAGGCCCTCTATACAGCATATCCCTAAGTAGTTTCCATACACTGCCATAATCACCCACTCTGAGTAGCAACCTAAACAAAATGCACATTGCTGACAAGCTTGGCAGTAATCCTAACTCCCTAATCTTATCTAAAACCTTCAATGCCGGAGACCTCATGTCTGCATTCACAAACGCCCGCATCAGCGCATCCAGAACAAAAAACTCTGATCCCTGCTTATATTTCTGTCTCCACATATACTCTACAACCTCATCACTCCTACGATCCCCCACCCTACTAACAACCCAATAGAGCAAGTCCTGCGCCGTCAACCTGAAGCTCTCAGACAACAACAAATGCGCAGAAAGACAACAAGACTGGACCATAACCTCTGAAGAATCCGCAAAAACCAACTTAAAAAATGCAAATGCAGCTTGCCGGTCGTCAAACAATTTCAAGATATCTACAAGTAAATAAGGGCAAAACCTAGTAGAGAATCCCTTCAACAGATACCCTTCTGCCTGTTTGATTATTTTTGAAAGACCAATTACAAGTGCGCGCCTCTCATTCGGATAAATTACCGTGCTTGACGAGCTAGATAAATGCCCAAACGGAGAAAATTGATCAAGAAAATCGAACTTTTGATTGAAAAAGATTGATTCTTTATCTTCTCCCGAGGAATCCGAATAAGTATTAGAAGAATGCGTGAATTGGGGTTTGAGGCTTATGGAGCGAATTGTGAGATAGTGTGGAAACTCGATAGAGGGAAAATGCGGAGGTAAAGGAAAAAGATCAATTTGGGAAGAACGACAAACCTTCAGAGCTGTGTGCACACGGCGCACAGCAGCAGACATCCGGAGCTTCACCGGAGACGACGTCGGAGTTGGGCTTCCGGCACGGACGGCGTTTTGGAAGGGTTTAAGCAGGTTTTTGCCTGATATGGACTTGAAATGGAAACCCCCTTTTTCACTTTGATTAGACTTAATTGCAAACTTCAACCCTTAGTTTTTACATGCTTCCACTAACACCCATAAACTTATTATTGTTGCATTTTCGGTCTACTCAATTTTTTTTTTAATTTATGTATTTATTTTTGGTCTAAAGATTTAGTAGTAATGTATCTCGAAGTTGGATGAACCACAAAGATTTTGACTTGTCAGTGGATTTAACCCTGTGGCATAAAAGATGGGAAGCAATATGTAATTTGATTCCATGCAAAGCGCAAACAAGATACAAAATTGAGCTTAGAATGGAAATTAAATCGCTAATAACATTTTACACAAAGAAAACAAAAGATTATTTTTCATTTTTTATGTTTTATTTGGAAACAGACTGAGTTTGTACTAATCTCTCTTAGTTCAAAATGGAAAGAAAGAAACTTTCATCCAAAAAAAAAAAAAAAAGAAAAAGAAAAAAGTGTGTGTCTTTACAATTAGCCTAGATCAAATAGAATCCCTAATTATATGTTGTTAACAGTACAAAATTAATTTACCAGCCTTAATTCTTAGATCTGGTATGTTTAATACGGGGATCAAGATAACTCTTTTTTTTTCCTTTTCACAGGAGGCCAACTGGCCGAAGCAATGAGCTTCAAGGATGGAAAATTACCGTTATGTGTTTTAACCACAATCTTATTACAGAGAGCATCAAGCAATTTACTAGCTTCAAAGGGAATAAAGAAATGGAGCTTAAAGATTTGAGGTTCAGTGCATCCACCGTATCTTAAGAGATTTGCACGCTGCACAAAGCCTAAAAACAAATGGGCAAGTGGTTGATTCTGTTTCAGTTGATGTTTCTAACTTGCTTCCCCTTGACAGCAAATTTGTTACCTAGACATTTTAGCAAATTCTGTGAGTCTTCTTCAGTTGCTCACTTGCTGTACGGCTATAGCCCCTTGTATTGTTCTGTGTCATCATTAAACAATATAGTGCAGTGGGAGTGGAACTGGATTTATCATTTTATGAACAGTGTTGGCCACCAAAAGTGTTACCAATTCTGGAATTCATTTACTCTGGTCCACCATCCACCATAAGGTTCCATAAAGTAAAAACATTGGTTCGACAATTCACTAGTACGAAGAAAAAGGTTCAGTTTGGACTTTGGAGGAACAAAGCTAGGTTAATGATGGAATAGATGAGGTTATTGAGAAGAAGTCATTCGTATTCATTTCTGTTGCTCGTTTAGTAGCAGATTAGATACAACATAAAAATCATCAAGAAGAAGCTTGCACATCTCCTGAATTTCATCAATCTCATTCCACATCCCAATCAAGGGGATTTGTTTTTTTTTTTTTTGCCTTTTTTGGGATATTGTAGATTTATAGGTAGGAGTAACTCAACAGAAAAACAATCAAAATTTCGTGATGGGCATCAATCTTTCTTGGTTTCCAATCCGCCCACCATCACTTTTTATACAAGGCGATCGAAGAACTTTTAGGTCTTCAAGCTTTTCTGGGCTGTAACCCTCCATTATTCTCCGCCAACAAGTTCTTGTACACAAGAGGATTTAGCCCTTTGCATATGCAGAAAAAAAAAAGTCATTTTATTAGGCCACAGCAACTGCACCGGTTCTAATAGCTTTATTTGGAGCAGATTCTTTCCTAGAATCTGTTGTTTGCTTTTTGTTTGATGATCTATTCCATCTTCTTTCTTTAGCCTCATCAATCTCTATCTGCTCTTGCCTGCACTCTTGACTACAAAATGGAGTATTTCCTCTGCGTAATACAACATACAAAGATTAGATTTTTATCATCCAAAACAATTTCTGCTACAAATAATCAGATTCCAAAAGGGATAAACAAACAAACCAAAAAAAACAAAGGAAAAAGATTCAAGATTTTAGCTAACCTGTACATGAAGATGTCACTGTTCTGAGGCAAGGGTCTCTGGCAAAGGAAACAAGAATCAAGAAAGTGAGATTGATATTGGTTATGGTGGTAGAGGTCTTCAGAATCATCATAGTACAGTACAGACTTCATTTTTCTAGAAGGTGAAAATTTGAGGTATTGATTTGGAGAATCAGAGTGTAATTGGAAGAAGAAAGTAGGAACAGAGAAATGGTGAAGAAAAGAGTAGGGGGGGAGGGGGAAGAAGAATGGAGTTGGGTGGAAGGATTATATAGTGAAAGAGGCTGCTGCAAAGTTAGAGAAAGAGTTGGGATTGGGTGGTTTGTGGAGCATGTAAGATATGGTGGTCTAACTAATCAATTTGTATAATTATTGATCCAAACTCTATTGAAAAAAAAAATTAAAAATTGGTGTTTATGGGAATTAGGACCACAGTGCAAGGAGGGATTTGTTATTATTATTTATGATTATTAGGACCACTTGGAAAATGAGAAAATGAGTGGTGTGCTCTGGCAGTTTTTCCAGAATCCAAGGGGGTTTGATGAATCTAGAGGTGAAGTACAACCTAATTCCTCCCTTCCAAAATAATTGTCGTTTTAGAAAAATGTAAAAATTATAAAATAAGTTTTGAGTTTTAATGCATTTTTTACCAAAAAATTTTCAAACATACCCTCAAAAGAAATAATATTATTGATGAGTATTTATTTTAACGTTGTAGGTTGAGAATATTCTAATAATTTAACTATCTTAATTAAGAGTTTCTTAAACTGTATGCAAACTCTAAAATTATACTTATAATATTTTAATAATTTAGCTATCTTAATTAAGAGTTTCTTAAACTGTGTGCAAATTCTAGAATTACACTTATTTTAGAACGGAGAGAGTAGTGTTTATTTGTTCACCGTAAGTTTTTTTTAGAAAAAAAGAATTTTCTTTTTATTACAAGGAGGAAGTAAAAGTTAAAGTGGATTTAGTGTTGGAGGTTTTGATCATCAAACTTTTCCCGATTTGATAGTTTAATAACAATAATTTGTAGTGTGATATAATCCGTGACAAGAAATACAACCAACCATTTTACAAACGTATAAGGAGAAAGGTTAAAGGAATCCTTGAACCACAAATCTAGAAGTGTAACAATTTTTTTTTTTTTTTTGCATTATTTTGTGCTCTAAATTGTTAAACAATATAACAATATAGATGTTGAATTTTTCATTGGAATTATGAATTTGGTACAACTATATACTACACATTTCGCTTCTTTTTTTCTTTTTCTAGCAATAATGCAATATGTTGGAGGTAGCTATACCATACTGAATTTGTTCTTTTGAAGGGTGTGGTCCATTAATTATATTGAATGCAGCTCGTGATAATAATTACACGCATTCACAATCATTATATTTGTTTCTCGTGTGTACTACTAGTATGTCATGAATTATTTTTCTCCCTTTCTATTTCAAATGTCATTTTATCGCATGATAAAAATCTGAACCCTAGTAACTATGTCAACATCAACATTTCTTATAATTAGTTACCGACGATACAAACCAATACAGGCTTATCCTTGAGATTTTGAAAATTGTCTATTGTTATAAATTAGTACTCCCTCCGTCCCATAATTATTGTCCAGTTTGAGTGTTCATTTATAGTTCAAATTATACTAAAAGTGAAATCTCAAATTGAACAATAATTTTGGGACAGAAAGAGTACTGTAGTAGAACTTTCGATTGCGCGAATTCTTATGAAAATCAAAAATGGAAAAACCATATCATTGACTATAAAAACCTGTAAAATTTGTATACCGCTTACCTAAAATAAGTTGAAAAAATTGCAAAGATTAACAAACAAATTTGATGACTTCAACTAAAGGGAAAAAGAGAGATTAAAACATTAAAATAAAAAATAATAATAATAAAAAAGTCTAGTTCAATTTTGGGGTTTTCCCATCATTGCTAGAGAGAGGATGATTTCTCTAGAGAGAAATGAAGGGACCCAATGATGTGTCTTTATGTGACATCCCACATTGGCGTTGCGTAGGCCGAGGTCCCACGCCCCACTATGATTGGCTCCCACTTCCCACAACTCTTTTTTTTGTTTTTTTATTCTCAAAAAATAAAACAGCAGAAATGAAACCATCATAAAACGACCAGTTGTACATGCGTATTAAGGGGCTCATTTTTCAAGGTCATTGTCTCCCCTGCCCTAACTGACCACCATCGCCGGGCAGGCAGCTATGTGTACATTCGCTGCTTTGCCCGTTACACGTGCGCCCTTCCAACACCACCAGCGCAGCACCCCTTATTTCTTGTCCAAACCGGCTACGTGGCACTATAACTCTACTAGTACTACTATTCTTTTCTGCTTGGGACTGAAAATTATTTATTTTTCTAAAAAGAAAAAAAAAACAAATTATTTTTCTAATATTCTTTTATTTTTTCCTGTAATTAACAAATATTTGAAAGTACATTCATAAGTGTTTTAATTGTGTTTTTGTCCGTTTCTATTATTATATATGGAGTATCAAAAAACAAATATTATTTTCTTGTCACTTTTTCAATAGCTCCTTTTTCAGATTCCATTACACTTGTAAATAGTTGCTTGGTTCACTGCTGTGACTTTGCTAAACAATTTAAGGGCTAACAAGAAACTACAAGTTCTTTTTAGTTTTTAATTCATTGGTCCTAACTCCTAATTAACAATTATTCCCTCCGTTCCATAATTATTAGCCAATGATAAATCCAGAAATATTTTTCCTTAAATCCAAGACCAATTTTAGTAAAATTCTCTTTTACACTTATTTAATTTTTATCATTTTTTCCCCTCCATCATATCAGAAATCTAAGCGCCAAAAGTTAACTCTTTCTTAATGTGGGAGCTTTATTCTCACCCTATCCTCCTCCTGGCATATTTTCAATCCTAACAACAGAAACCTCAAGAAATTCACTTCTTCTTTTGACGCTGAAATTCACAAAAAATCTCGGCATGATATCATTACAACTATTGATATAAACAAGGAAGTAAGGTAAATTAATTACGATAAATTATAGAAGGTAAAGAAAAATATAAATAAAATATTCCTTTTTTGAGTAGGATATAAAGTTGTTGGATTGGAAGAGACTACTGTATAACACTGTAGTTATTGTAATTTAAAGTATACTATAATATTTTAAAGTATTGGGTTGGAGATGGCCTTACGTCCATCTAATTTCAAGGTTAAGGGGACAAAGTAACAAACTTCTCATTCTTTGTACTTAGATGGTAATTAAACTGCACATTTCACTTTTTAATAATATTATGCTGGTGATATCAGAGGTAAAATTAGAGCCAGTACTTTATGAGTTTATTTTCCCTCAGAACAGATTTTCTTTTGCAAAAAAAAAAAGGAATAAATAAATAAAAGGAGTTCAATTTGTGGTCTGATATGAACCAACGGAGGAGGAGAGTTATGAAAAGATTAAAAAGATTCTGTACGAAAAGTTTATTAATTATTAAGTCTTATAAAATGCTAGTTCTGAAGTTGTTTTTGGTAAAACTTGCACCATGAATTAATTAAAACTGATTCGTGTCTCACTTAACATAATAATAATCAACATTAAAGCCTATACGTTAAGTTGGAACAACAGATGTATATACAAATCAACAAAAACTGTCTTATTCAAAACTGTTTAATCGTCATCAAATAGTTCTGCGTCAAGTCAACTCATGTGATGGTTACGTACCTCTGCTTTTTGTTGTTGTTTAATTAAGCCTTCAAAATCAAACATGTGTAGTTTAGATAAGTACTTACGACTTAATTATGGAGTAAAATGTATCAATATCAAAACAGTGGAAATTAAACTAAAAAAAAAAAAAAAAGAAAAAAGAAAAAGTGAGCAAGTTGGTTGTTATTGACACGGCAAATCCACGTCAAGATGTGAAGTTTCAAGACCTGGAACTGAGTCATATACGCATGTTATCATGTGCCTATTTGACAACGTAATACACCCAAATTTAATTAGTGTGTGATTAGATTTGGTTTTTATTTTTATTAATTTTGTATCTGTGTTTAGAAAATTACTATGTGGAATTGGTAAAAAAAAAGCATGTTGTAAATGTGGCTTCAATTGGTTTGACATTGTTTGCGATTTATTTATTTATTTTGATTCTATATATGTTTGGTTGGAATTAATTAAAACATTTTCATTTTAGGTTTACATATCACAAAAAAAAATTAACACGCTCAAGAAACGGTCATAACTAACACCCTTCTCCATGAAACACGACTATTATTACCATTATTAGATTGATTACATCATGTTTTAATATTCTTGGTTAATTCTTGAATAATGTACTCATTTTGATTTGGGACGGAGAGAGTTTATATCTTAAGTTTTTCAGTTGAAGATCATATGTTAGTTCCTTAATCTTTGTTCTTATCTGTTGGTCATAATTAATTAGTACTTCTGTTAGTCCAGGATTTCGGCATGGCAAAACAATGGGTTTCTAGTATTCTTTGATCACAGAAATTGCAGGTTTCTGGGTTTAGGACCACAGTACCACACAATGACCCATAATTCTACTCATTTTTTCCCCTTCAGGGGACCTGAATCTCCATTTGGTTCATGCACAATATTTTTGTTTCTCTTACTAAAGGAGAAGTACTATTTCACCAGAAGAAATGCATGCAACTATTATAAGCTCAGACCACCCATAACTATGGCGTGGACAGAACAGATTGATTGTCATCAGTACTCATCACCTGGTATGAGCAGTCACAGATTGAAATATGGCCTCGACGGTTTCAAAATTCTACTGATTCGCGCTCTTGGCTAACCCAGTACCAACTTCCAAACAAAAAGGTCGTTCAAGGGAGATAATTATGTATACTTAGGACTAGATTAACGTAAATAAAGCAAGGTTGAGAGGTGGAGAATTAGCCCTGAGACGAGTTTATATATGGTGATACCTAAGACATTGGGATACTGATTCGACTAATCTACAAACATGCCACGTCCAAAAGAAGAGAATGATCTCTACTTGCATTGAACTACCCTGAGAGAGCGACGTTAATAGCCCTATATACATCTATACCAATTTGGGCTTCGGCTATCTCCAGATCAGTAGAGGCTGAATTCAGCTTCTGATTGTACTCAGCAAGTCTCTTTAATGCCAAGGCATCGTCCAGTTGGTCAATCGGCACTGCCTCAGCAGCAATGATGTCCGTGTAGGAGTTTGAGTGAATATAAGCAAATCCACCACTAACAAAATACTTTTTCACACCATTTTCATCATGAACCGAGAGAACACCAGATTTCAGCTCCGTAATTGTTGATACATGTCCCGGAAGAATGCCCATCTCACCAGTTGTTGCAGGAATAACCACCATGTCAACCTGAGGAAGAACATTATCAAACGCTTTGAGTGACAGAGGCCAAAGTAACCCAATGTTCCATCTAGCCCATAACCACTAGGGAGCCACACATTACGAAGTTAAGCACTTGAGCAGATTACTACAGAGTCAATGGGAAAAAGGTCTTCTAATCATCTCCATTAAATGATCTTTTCTGTAGTTAGACCATATGGCAGGGTAGCCATCCTTATTAATTTTTAAGGAGATGAAGAATAGCATTGATATAGAAAGTTACGATCCTTTCAATTAATATATTGAGAACAACCATTGAATCAGAAGCTCAAAACAACCCTTCTGAGCCATCTGCTAGAGTACAACACTATTACCAGATATAAGACATAGATAATATTTAACTACACTTCTATCATATCTGCGGAAGGATCTTCAATAACTAGAGATAAACCCATCCAGAAAAGGCACAAGGACCTGTATGAGTATCCTTCCTAATTTACCCAAGTCCAACACACCTAAAGGAAGAATCTATTTAAATGTCTCCTGAGGAGCAGTGAAGAAAGGACACCACCATGTATGATATTGTTAACAATGAGGCTTGTTTTATTAATAACTCATAGCCAGGTCTTAGCCGCAGAAAGGTTAACAGTAAAGTGCACCCTTCCTTACCCCTCCCTCCCTTTCCCGTTCCATCCACAGACGGACACACACAAGTCGATAAGTTAAAAACATGATACATCCATGTCTAACAACTAAGGTACTTTGCTTGCAAAGACAGTGCAATATCACAGATAGATTTTCATAATGAAATATAAAATATCAGAACTTCTAGATTGACCAATCTCATGCAGAATTCAAACATTAATCTGTCACAAAGGATCTACGGGGAGTTATCACATTCGAACATCTAGAACAAAAGGGATGAGCTGAGCACAAAATATTTTACAGCAAAGCAAATCTAAAAACACAACCACTATTTCTTGCATTAACCAAGAGTGAAAAATAATAATATTTCAATACACAGTTACAAGAACTGGTGTGATTGTAAATGCAGTTAAGAGCTGGGATTACACTTGCAATAATTTGACATACGATGCAGATTAAAACCTAACCACATTTTGTCACCAAGTGTCAATTTTCTATTAAAGTTCTTACTCTAAAGTCTAAAGTATTTGAGAGGAAAACCAATGTTAGAATGTCAGAACCATCAAAATCAAACCCAGACTAATAAAGCCAATTTTGTTCCATTATTTCGATTACCACACAACAGCAGAACAGCTGTTGTATGAGATAGGGAAACTTAAATTCTATTCTCAAAATCCACAAGTCATATCAATTCCCATAAGGGACACAGAAAACAGCAGTATATGACAGCATCTTTATTCTATTCCAGGACCATTCTCAACTCGAAATTTGGAACCCAGGCTACATTTCAATTCTGCAACTTTCTCCAGTATAAGGTATTTGAAAAAGCAGCCAATGTCTAAAAGATCCGAATAACCCAGGGTACATTATAATGTGAGAGTAATAACAATAAAGCGTTCCACTGCTAAAGTAAATCAAAATCCCCAAGAATTATCATCCTTACGAGCAAACAATCGAACTCAATTTCATTTTTTTGTTATAATTAACCAGTTATAAGAGACGGGAGAAAACACAGTTGAAATTAATATTTACAGGGACGGAAAAAAATAAACGAAATGAAAAGGAATAGAAAAAAACTGGCCTCTTTGTTGAGAAAATCAGGGGCATACGGGAGGACGAGATTGACGGCAAGTTTAGAGGGGATATCGGAAGGGGCAGGAGGCCGAGGTTGCATGAAGGAAAGCGGCGTCTTAGGGGGTTCAATGTCGGGGATCGCACTTCTCCAGGCCTTGGTGAAGGCGTCGTCGGCCGGAGCCGGGGTTTCAGTGGAAAATGTCCGGGATTTGATCGACCGGGAGAGGGTGCGGGTGCTGTGGCGGAACATCTTGGGAAGGGAAATGGGGATTCGCTCGGGTTCGCAAGTCGGAGAGATGGCCGGAGGGACGACGGCGGAGGCGGGATACGCCACTCACAAGTGAATTTTATGATGGATTTGGCATTCTTTATTCCCAATGTAATCAATTTCATCTCAGTTTGAATTTATGTTAGGAAAGAAAAAAAAAATTATTCGAGCGAGAATTAGAACACAAAAAAATATATTATAGTAATGAATAATTAAATTCATGGTCTTTCACCATTGATTTAACGATGTTAAAATACTAATATAATGAATAATTAAATTCATGGTCTTTCACCATTGATTTAACGATGTTAAAATACTTTGAATAAAAGGAAGGGATTCATTCAACTCGAATCCCTTGCACGATTCATAAAAATTGAAACTATAATTTCATAAAAAATTTCTGAAACTTATTGTCATCAACAAACTTTGATTCTTTCCAATCATTCTTCGTTTATTGGATCATTATTTTCTAATTTGTTTTTGTAGAGAAAAATTCAACACCTTAATTGGTGTCACCTAATGCCATTCATGAACTTGCACGATTCTTTCCCCTCAGAATATTCTCCCCCCATTATTTTTATATATGTCTTTCCAGAAAAATTATCAAAACTAAGAAAATATTTATTAATGTAGTTAAAATACAAACATACCCTCATTTATTGTTTACACAATTCATCACAAACCAATAGAAATTCACTATAAATATGGTTTCATCTACAATGCAAGGGTAATATTGGTAAAAAGTGGTCAAATGTACGTCAATTTGTGAAAACGACATATATTTAAAAAAAATCATCAAATTCTAAAAGGACATATATTTCAAAATGGAAGGAGTAGTAAAATTTTCGTAGAACTACTCCTTTTGTTTCAACTCTAACATGTATTCTCTTCTTTCTAAAATGATTGATCATTTTGAATTTTTATTTTTAATATAAATTGTATTAAAAGTCAAAATACAAATAGAGACAATCATTTTGTTTAAATTTTCACCTTTATTATAATTTATTATAAATAATAAAAATTCAAAATCGATCATTTCATGATGGAAGAAAAATATTTCTTTGGCATCATACAATTTTTTTTTATCATATTGTTATCTTTTTCCCTTTCCCTTCAATTCATTTATTCTCCTTGCCAATTGAAACTTATCTAGGTAGTATAAAACAAACTAATTTGTTCAAGTGTGATTTCAGAAGCCGAAGTTGTCTTATCTTGGCAATGCATTGAATATGTTAGAAAGTAGCTAAAAAAATTTAGTGGATAATGATAGTTATTGAAACCAGAGTTAAGCAAGAAACAAAAGATAGGAAGAGACGAAGAGTACTGTGGAGTAAAAGTGGCGCGATCTTAGACAATCATGATTCATGGGTGGATAATAACAAAACATAGGGTTGATTCACGATCACCATTAACATTGATTTCTTTCTTACATAAAATAACGGAGAGAATACGTAATTTATGAAAATTTACAATATTTCAAGATTTGATAAATAAAGTGATGAAACTGATGAAAAATCATCCGTAACTTGATTTCTTGAAAGTCATATTCACTACTGAATTTATTTATTTACGAAACCATTAACAAATTCTTAATTAAGCAAGAATCCAGCACAGCTTCCACCAAATCCCGGCTCTCCCAAGCCATATGGTGTAAAACTTTAGCAAATCATAAATTCCAGCCATTCTCCAAGTATCCCTATATTTTGGCTCCAATTTCTGGTACCACTGTACAAATGCCTTTTGGGTTTCCGGTTTGTCGGACCATGGCCACACCCGGATCCGCTCAAAATTGTCAAATTTACAGGAATTCTCATACTTGTAATAGGCATCATCTGAATTTAACATTAGGATATACTCCTTCAGATTTTCTGGCACCGATGGGAAATTCGGACCCAGAGTAAAGTGGCGAGCTGACGGATTGAATGGCAGAATAACTTGATTTTACACCATGGGTTGCGACTTTGGCCTTCTCGTAGGCCATTGGATTAGCGTCACTTGTTCCGGCCATCTTTTCCTCCACCAAATAATTGCAACAACAGAAAGAGGGAGTATTAATCAAAAAGGGTTTTGTCGAAATTCAAGTCGTTGAATTCAGAGTCGAACAGGCTGATATGGGAATTGTGATTTGGTGATCCTGCTACTTTAAAAAATCTAACTTTGTAATAAATTCGGATTCGACTGAGATTTGGAATCGGCAAGAATTTTGTTTCTTTTAAGAAGAAGAGGAGCTGTTGAAGTAATTCTATCCTGTTTTCTCTCTCTCTCTCTCTCTCCTTTATCATTCCAGTAAGTTCAAAGCTGGTCAACCCTCGAAAAGCGCGGAGTCAGGAAGCCGTTAGCAAACACGCGGTTCTGAACACGCGCCTTTGCTGGAGGGGGGGCTCCTGGGCCGATTAATTTTTCTGTTGGGCAGATTTCTTGCTGGATCGTCCCACTTTTTTGGGCTAAAGAAAGAGTTGGGCAGTAAGGCAAGCAATTTTTTTTTCTTGGCTTCAAAATTTGCTTCCCTTAGGGGTCTTTATGTTGGACTGATTTTAGCAAATCCGGTTCACATGAGATTGGGCCGATTGCAGCAACAATAATGATGGAAGAAATAAAGTCGGTCAAAGCCCGCCGTTCAGAGAAGCAATAGCGGGCAGCAGTCCAAATTCAAAAGGGAGTCTTCGACACCACAATCCTTGTCGGAGAAGGATTCCAATTGCAGCAGAAGTCCTTATTGGATTCGACTTCGATTGCACTCCAACTAGGGTTGACGAATTTGCTATAAAAGTTGTAAAGGAGGAACGGCCGAAACAAACACAATTCATCACACAGAAATCATATTTTTAGTTCCTTTATAGCTTTTATCGTTTATGTTCTTTTAAACTTTCATGTATCCTTTTATTTTTCAGTCTTGATCTTTTTAAACACTTGACGTTTCTGGTTGTTCACAGCCAATTTGTTTCTCATAAACTCAATAAAGCTGGCCTTGATTGACCGTTTTATTCATTTTCTCGAAACCATTCATTGTTTCATCATCAAACATTTGAACTCTCAGTCTTATTACGAATCAAAGGCGTTGACATATTTAGGTAATTCTTACTGTTAGACTCCGAATTTCGAGAATATCACTCAATCGTTTAAAATTAGTTTGAGCCGAGTCGGTCTTACTTTCAATACAATGTTGACTCAAACACACAAGAAAGATGGAAAATGTATTAAATACACACAGTACGTTCACAATAACAAAACCATAAAAGCTTTCATTTTCTTTTTTTTTTTTTTTTTTTTACAATGAGAAGATCCAACGCTAAAAACTAAATTATTACATTACGAGAATATAATATGTAATCTTTATAATACAATGTACGAGTCAAGGTTTGATTTTCGATATCAGAGATTCAAACCATTGATGTCCACCAGAATCTTGCATGAGCAGCTATAAAAATGTCAAATAATTTGGGACAAAATGTGCTTCCTTAACCTCTTGATGTGGATGATCAACCTTCCACTGCCTCTTCAACAAACGCCCACAAGTCCAGAGGTGAAGAGAAGCAGCTCATCATTGGCCTTAATCATGGTATAAACATAAGCATCGAAGATGAAGAGAACGTTAATAAACAAAATAAGGAAAGAGAAAAAGGGGGGGAAAAAAAAGAAGTAACACAGTAATAACAAAAGTTGAGGTCGATGCATATAAATTTCTTACTCGGTATCGAATTCTTCTTCCTCCTCCTCCTCACCGCCACTGCTCTCCTTCTCCTCCTCTTCCTCTTCTTCTTCTTCTTCTCCATGATGTTCTCCCTCATTTTCGCCGCCATGATTGCCCTTTTCTTTCTTTCCTTTCTTCTTGTTTTTCTTCTTCTTCTTCTTCTTTTTCTTTTCGTGATGTTCATGAATCCTATCAATGATCTTACTCATCAAGCCCTTCTTCTGCTCCACACCACCATGGCTTTCTTCTGCCTTGTGCTTGTCATCTCCTCCTTCTCCTGCCTTTCCATGATGGCCAATGTGGAGGACCTCTTCAATCCTGTGAATTATTTCCGACATTTCTTCCACAAAGTTTTTGTCACCGTCTTTTCTTTTCTTTTTTTTCCTTTCATAATGGAATATGAAGACAGATGTATACATCAGTAATTGTTGTTGATGTCTATATACAGAAGCAAAATCAAGTGGAGGGATGAATGATTGGATCGTAATAATTTGTGAATAAATAACGATGCCAACTTCTATGATTAATGAAGTCAACTATGAATTTCCTTTACAATTATTTCTCTGAAATTATAATTAAAACCATTGTTTAAGACTTGGGGAAGCAAGTAGTTACAAATACAGTAATGGAGCAGTGATTGATGTTAATCAAACAAAAGATATTAAATAAATTCAACATGAACCCCGGACGTAGCATATGCAAATAAGGGAGAAATTACAAGAAACCCTAATCTAGAACTATGATGCGAATTACTAAAAGTTAGAATAGGATCTTATGATGATCACAAGGAACTATTTGCTTCTACCAATATCAATCCGAACTGATTTGCTTCTAACTCCGTCGAGTAAACTTATTTGGGTTGAAACAATATCGTATATGGATTTTACGATAAATGTAACAATTTTTTTTTCGCTAATGCAATCGATTTCAAACCGAAATTCTCAAATTTAAATTAGTTGAAAAAATGATTTCAGACAATGGGAATTCTAAAAAAAGAAAGGTGATATAAAATTCAGACTTCAACTCTTTGATGCTTTGAATCATTCTTCGTTTATTGGATCATTTTTTCTTATTTGTTTTTATCAAGAAAAATTCAAAACACTAATTGGGGTGATTAGCTAATGGCGCCATCATGAGCTTACATTATTCTTTATACAGTATGAGAATATAACATATTTAAAATAATTTTTTTTAGAATTATTTCTGTTTCTAACTCTAAAATATTACTCTCCGTTATAAAATAATTGGATTTATTTAGATTTTTTTAATACAATTCATTGTAAAAATAAACATTCCAAACCCAACCATCATTTCGCATTTTGGGATGGAGGGACGATGGCTTTTTCTTCGGCATCATACATGTAATTAATCATCTCTTTAGTCTTTATCTTCTTGTTATCCCCCGGCCCCCCACAACTCATTTCTTTTCCTCACGAATCGAAACTTATCTAGGTAGTATAAAACAAATTTGTTCATGTGTGATGTCGGAAAGTTGAAGTTTTCTTATTTTGGGTCAAGCATTGAATATGCCAGCGACTAGCTAGCTACCATGGATTAAAAAACTATAGGTGGATAAAGGTAACTACTGAAAACAGAGAATTAAGCAAAGAAACACAAAAAGAAAAAAGAAAAAATAAAAGATGGGAAGATTGTAGATTGTGGAGTAAAAGTGGCGTGATCAATAATATTGGATGGTTAATCAAACTACCTTACCCTCGAAAGTACAGAGGGTTGATTAATAATTCAAGATTTGATAGATAAAATAATAAAACTAATATGAAAAATCACTCATCACAATTAATTTCCAAAAATCATCAACATTTTCACTACTGAACTTACAAAAACTCTCTCTCTCTCACACACACACACATGAAAGATGAAAAATGTATCAATCTACAAGAACAAAACCATGAGAATTTGAAGATGAAGAACACTAAAAAAAAAAAAAAAAGAAGAAGTAAATCAAATCCAACACATAATAATAACAAAAGTTGAGATCGACCGATCTATATCATTAATAATAATTACTCGTCATCTTCTTCTTCTTCCTCCTCCTCCTCCTCACTGCTACTGCTTTCCTCCTCTTCCTCTTCCTCTTCTTCTTCCTCTCCTTCTTCACCTTCATGTTCGCCGCCGTGGTGACCACCACCACCGTGGCCGTACCCTTTTTCTTTCTTTCCTTTCTTCTTGTTCTTCTTCTTCTTCTCGTGATGTTCCTGAATCTTGTGAATGATCTTACTCATCAAGCCCGTCTTTTGCTCTTCATGACCACCATGGCTTTCTTCTTCCTTGTGTACTTTGTCATCTTTGTGCTTGTCATCTCCTCCTCCTTCTGCTGCCTTTCCATGATGCCCAATATGGAGGACCTCTTCAATCTTGTGAATTATTTCTGACATTTCTTCCACAAACTTTCTCTCACACTGTCTACAATTTCTTTTCTTTTTTCTTTCTATTCCCCTTTCAGAATGGAATATGAAGGGAGATGAAATGTATATATCAGTATTTATGGAGGGATGCATGATTGGAGGGATGCATGATTGGATTGTTAATATATGACGAAGTTAATTAAGTCAAATTTAACCGTACTTTTTTAATACACATATCTCGATTCCAACTTGGCAACTTGTCTAATCATGAATGAGTCAACTATCAATGTATTTCCCTTAATTGGTATTATTTCTTTGAAATTACGAGTAAAACTTGGTTATCTTAATGTATTTATAATAACTCTCATTACAAACTACAAAGTACAAAGTGTAAACCCTCACACTGAATACGCCTTAATAAATTTAATGACAAATTAACCTTCTTATTAAGTTTACTAACAAGTTTTATCAGTGTAACTACATGAACGAGATACACAATAATCATGGTTAGTTTAAAAGGAGATATGCTTATTTATGGCAATTAATTAATGTGATCGCTATGTGATTTGCTTTTCTAAGTTTTAATCTTTCTCAAAGTTCGTAGTAGTACAACAAAACAAAATACAGTAATAATTTCAAAACAGACGTGGTACAAAGAATCTCAATTTCCCGTGTAAATAATTGCTCCTATATATGGGATAACTACTCTGAAATCTGTATAGTTTGAGAAGTTGACCCTAGAAGACTATCTTATCAAGTCAGCTAATTGATCTGATCAATGTAATTTTTGGTTAATCAAATTCTGATTATCACCCAAAAAATAAAAATATAAAAAAAATATTGCCAATTTGCATTGTTTTTCATCCTTTTTCTTTTTTTTGTGGGGAACAGAAGACAAGGTCATGAGCATTTTAATTGTAGGGGCTATAATAACAAGTCAGACTCCGCGTTAATTAGATGCATTCAAATTCAAGCCACCTCTTCATGAACATGGTTTTGGCGTCAAATATGCATCTGATTACTAGTTGGCCAAATAAAATATAGCACTCCCCCCTAATCAAATGTACGTATCATGTTTTGATTTTAATTTAAAAGAATGTACGTTATCTTAAAAAATATACATATATATATATATATAAAAGTGAATATGTTCGAAGGTATTTTTTGATAACCTAGCTAGCAATTTTATATCATCTGCAAAATAGTCTATTTCTGAAAATTAAAATCGTAAAATTGGACTTATGAGATTTATATTCTCTACTAAAAACTAATATCCATGTTTTATCTAAAAGAAAATCAAATTCATAAATAGATGCAATAAATTCAAATTTTCAGATTAAACCATCAATTAGAAATATGCAATATGATCAAATTTGATAGATTCTAATTTTCTTTTTTTTTTAAATTAATTATTTATCTAGCACGGAAAGAATATATAATAAGAAAAAAAATAAGGTAGTAGCCGACTAGCTGGAGTTGATAATATAAACATTACTCAAATGATGGACAAATAGCACTCGAAGGATGTCGTGTCCTACAGAGCTGGCTCAATTCGTATTGAGATCTCAAGCGAAATTTAAATTTGGAGCCCTTCAATAACCAGAATTCGATAAATAAAATTTTTATTAAAATACTTTAATAATTTCGATACAAATAATTTTATCAGATAATTAAAGTACTAAATACTTTGTATGTCAAAATGTTTATGGTAGTATAACTTATTTTATTATTTTTTAATGATATTATTATAAAACAATTTCAAGAAATAATTATAGTTAATAATATCCTAAAAATGAGGCCCTAAATTATATGAGACCTAAAGTCCTATCTTTGGTAGCCTCCCCATAAAGCCACCTCTGGTGTCCTACTTACCGATAAGAGGATTTAGAGATTTTGAGCATAAATTGGCCGATAGGATTTGAAATGAAGCGACTTTTTTCAAATTGCTTTGGTTTTATCGAGTAAACAATGGAATGTCGCTTCTACGAGGTGAACTTTAAAGAGCAATGCTTACTTTTTCCCTTGCTTTCTTCAAAACTTAGGAGTTAGGATCCTCATATTCCCAAGAGTTAAGCCTCAATTCTGAAATGTTTGTCGGGGGATCAATCTGATTGCATCTGAAACTTGCTGTCAAGGGTGTTATGTGATATGCATATAATTACAAGGGATAAAGTTCCGTTCTTTCCTTTTACTTCTTGAGGCACTAACATCATCCTATGCATATTTCAGGAACCTATTATGCCTCAACAAATGAGAACCGTGCTGATTTTATAGGTCGAGTAGTTGTTGATGAGGGTGCTGGCAGTGGCATTTTGTCCTTGTTTGTTGGCCAGGTATACCTACAAATTTGAGCTGGCCATGGAAAATGTCCTTTTTGCTATGCAGCTGTTAGCACCAAAAATAGGTTTAATTGGAATTGGAGTCAGATTGGGATTAAGGAAGCTTTTCACGTGAGGGTTTTAATGTTCTTATTTGAGAAGAAGAGTGATTCATATAGGTTCTACATTAGTAAGGCACCAAAAATACATATTTTGGTTTAATTGGAATTGGAGTCATATTGGATTAAGGAACCTTCACGTGAGGGTTTTAATGTTCTTATTTGAGAAGAAGAGTGATTCATATGAGTTCTACATTAGTAAGGCTTTTTGGAGTTTAATTGTGACTCAGTGCTTAGCTACATTAATTTCTTACTTCTAATGGGCTTTGGGCAGCCATATTTATCCCATGTGAGGACTATATCAATTTACAAGTCTTGTACTGGTTAAAGCCTAAAAGCTAGGCATGTTAATTAGTTTGATTAGATTCACGTGAAGAGAGAGTATTTGGCCAAGTTTGATTAGTTTTGTCCAAGCTGGATTACAATTCCTATTTCCTAAAATGTTGGAGAGACTCCTTCGGCCCAAGGAAGCAAGCAGTAGACGGTTATCTCTTCTCTATAAAAGGCGGCCAAGACATCAACACAAGAACAACACACCTCAATTCATCATCATCAATATTATTCGTTTTTCTTTATTTTTCTTCTTTTCTTTCACGTATTTTTATCATGTTTTTATAGTATAGCCTAACCTAAATAGTTTTGGCCTATTTTTCTTCATAAAAATATGTAGTCGTTCATCATTTTCTACTTCAGTGAATTCGATTCTTCTTGTAATAGTGCATTATCGACGTTCTCCATAGCTAGTCGGCGCTATCTATCTCTTTTTTCCTATTTTAATGGATTGACGGCCACCACTCTTTGGCTTGTCTCGCCTCTTTCTCTATATCTTTTTCTTATTAATATTAAACCAAAGTTAACCCTAAGTTCTCGATTCTAAGTCTGAGGCCGGTTTTAGAACACATCCACAATCGCTTGGTTTTGTATGTTTTAGGAGATTTTCACCCCTTCTTTCTCACGCTTTAGGGTGATTTTTTCGGCACAAACATAATGGCACGCCCAGTGGGACAAGCTTTGGTTTGATTCCCAGACAGTGGTGGTTTTTCCTTCTAAAAATCTCTATTTTTAAAATCTCTTTCTTCTCTAAAAAAAAAAATAAAAAATTCTTCCTTTCGTTTTTTATTATGGGATCTGATCTTAGTAGCCCTAGAGATCCGATCTATACTTCTTCACCATATAATAGGTCGCCTAGTAATCCCCAATCTCCATATTATTATAGTCCATCACCATTTGGTGGGCATATCTCTCAACAGCCCGCAGTTCCACATATAGGACATAATTCTTTGGGGGCTGAAAATAATATCGGATGGCAGGTTACCCTTGATGGCTGCTTTCCTCAATCTTATGGTCAACATGGCGTGAAACAGCAATCTAGTTGCATTGACGGACGGCGTGACGGGTCTATGGTGTAAGATCCCTCAAGATTCGGGGGGCAGCCCGCTGTTGGTAATTCAAATGCTACACATGAATTTTACAATATACTAATTAGTGAAAACATGGTGCAATATATACATGGGCAGCAACTGCAGGTTTTGTCACCGCAACAACAGCAAGTTCAGGCGTAGGCGCAGCCGCAGGTTCTGTCGCCGCAACATCAGCAATTGCAGATGCAGATACTTCAGCAAAAACAGGTATCGCCGGTGCAACATCAGCAAGTTCTGTTGCAGGCGCAACCACATCGGGTTATGTCGCTGCAGCATCAGCAAGTTCTGTTGCAGGCACAACCACAGCAAGTTTTGTCGCAGCAACATCAGCAAGTTCAGATGCAGGTAATGCAACAGTTGTAGTTATAGCAGGTAGTGCTGCAGCTACAGAATCTGCAGGTGGTACAACAAACTCAGCAGGAAGAGTCTGAGTACCCCTAACAAGCGTTTGTCGCTGCAAATAAACAGGTGTTGCAGCCATAAAATACAATTTCGGCGAGTGAATCATTGCCGATTATTGAAACTATAGTTGTTACTGAGCATTGTGTGCATACCGATTCATTTTGTTTGCCTCTTGAATCTGTCATTGTTGAAAACGAGTTTGTTGAGGTTGAGTGCAGGAAATCTTATGAGTCTTCTAGCAGCAACAATGATATTGAGGAGATTATTTGTGACAGCTGCGACAATATTTCACCTGCAACTGATAATTCTGTTTGTCCAAGTGTCGACGAAATTAAGGGCGAGCAAGAGCAAGGCCAAGTGGCAACTCCTGATGCCAGTTTATCTGTGACAGCTGAACTGGCACAATACTTAGTCGCTGGTGTTCCAAAAGAAGCAGCAGCAGACCAACAAGTTGCAGTTTCTAATGATGGCTTCCAAAATCGGCGGTGCAACAGTAGCGCTGAATTGGTTAATGATGTAACAAATTCCATGCCGATTAAGCAGAAGTCTAATCATGCCTGGCTTTATGACAAGAGATGTTCTGCCAACAGAAGAAGCAAGCGGAATAAAGGGACGTAAATACCGCATGGTTTTCACTTTGCAGAAAGGGTCGATGACGGTCCCCGATTATGTGGTATCGATTTTGATGGTGGCAACAGTTGTTATGCTTATTTGGATTATGGTGCTGCTATAGAATGGAGGATTGATTTGGCTAAAGATCGTGAGTTGTTGAAATCCTTGATTGGCCGAGAAAAGAAACGTTCTGCAAGAGCTCAGTCGAAGATGCTTACTCCTTCCGTTATGCAACCTAGCAGAATCACGGCATCTGGGGGCAAGGTGGTCGATGCTAAGTCTAGCAATGTGTCGTCTAAGATTAATAGTGATGTAATCCAATGTGTGGCTGACCAAGAGAAAAAGTATGTTGTTGAAGTGTCGACAATGGATGATAAGGTCGACGATGATCAAGAAAGTTCTGCTGCAG